AAAAAAAAAAACAACAAAACATGGATTGCTGGGTCCATTTCCAGAGGTTCTTATTCATTAAACTTGGGATAGGACTCAAGAATTTGCATTTCTTACAAGCTTCCAGACGATAAGGATAATGATGCCAGCCCAGGGAGCAGCCCTTAAGAATCACTGCTCTAACCTCAGAGAAGAATGCTTCAGCTGAACAGAGAATTCAGAGCAAATGATCTCTCCAAAGCTGTCTATTTAGAGTGAATTAACCTCATATGTTAGTTTTAGCAACCTCAGGGCTATATACAGCATGCAGATTGATATTAAAACTAGTCAAAGGTTCCATTCAGAAGATATTACTGTGTTTTATACATACACTGGATGAAAACCTATTATTAGGGGGAAATCATGTAATAAGGAGTAATGAAAAGACTAGATGTACGAATTTCTTTTTTTTTTGAGACAGAGTCTCAAGCTGTTGTCCTGAGTGGAGTGCCATGGCATCATAGTTAACAGCAACCTCCAACTTTTGGGCTCCAGTGATCCTCTTGCCTCAGTTTTTCTATTTTTAGTAGAGACAGGGTCTTGCTTTTTGCTCAGATTGGTCTGGAGCCTGTGAGCTCAAGCAATCCACCTGCCTCGGCCTCCCAGAGTGCTAGATTACAGGCATGAGCCAACACACCTGGCCTAGATGTATGAATTTCTAGTTCTACCCCAGAGGGGAAGTATGAACCTGCATTTTAACAAACACCTCAGGTGATTCTTAATCACACAAAAGTTTGGAGAGGCTGGTAAAGTATACTACACTATCCATTATAGTAGCCACTAGCCATATTTGGCAACTACCATTCAAAAAAAATTAAAAATTCAGTTTCTGCCAGGAATCTAAGCACTCTGGGAGGCTGGAGGTGGGTAGATTGCTTGAGCTCAGCAGTTCAAGACCAACCTAAGCAAGAGTGAGACTCTGTCTCTAAAATCTACCTGGGTGTTGTGGTGGGCACCTGTAGTCTCAGCTTACTTGGGAGGCTGAGGCAAGAGGATCACTTAAGCCCAGAAGTTTGATGTTGCTGCAAGCTATGATCCCATAGCACTCTATGCAGGGCAACAGAATGAGACTTTGTATCCAAAAAAAAAAAAAAAAAAAAAAAAAAGGCAGCCCCAGTTTCTCAGTTGCCCTGGGACTATTTCAAGTGCTCAAAGCCACATGCAAATAGTGGCAAACCCTCCTAGACAGTATAGATATTTCCATAATTACAGAACATTCTAATAGACAGAATGGAAGCTTTTTATTTATTCAGTACTTCCTGCATATTTCCTGAGCATCCGAGTTTGAACTTCTGGCTCTGCCTCTGTCAGGTACATCTGTCACTTTTTTCTCTAAATCTGTTTCCTGATCTGCAAAATGAGACTATAATCACCCTTCTATATCTATGTGGTTGAGTGAGAACCAAACAGGAGATGTGAAAACACACTAGATTTAAAAACTATACAACCCCATAGATTTCCATCTAACATTATCTTCTTATCTTTCTTGTTAACTACATTTTTCTTCAGTCTCTCAGTTTTGGTAGAAATGGAAATTGGAAATACATTTTGGGAGCATTTTGGCAATGTCCATCAAAATTTTATATGTTGAAACTCCTTAATTAGGTAATTTCAATAGATAAAGGAATTTTCTCTCCAAATATAATCTCTCAGATGTACAAGCTAAATTTACGGCTGTTCATTCAGCAGTGTTGGCAAAGGCAAAAACTTGGAAACCTAAATATCCATCAGTAAGTATTTATTGGTAAAAAATTAGGGCATGTTATGTAACAGAAACTAGGTAATCACTACAAAAAATAAGACTAAATCCATAGATATCAATGTGAAGGGATGTTTGTGATATTAAGCTTATAAAAAGGTAAGTTGCATACATATGTTGCAAATATGTATTTTGTAGAATATTCTTAGCTGGTAACAGTGACTACCTTTTGTAAAAAAAAAAAAAAAGAAGAAAACAGAGATTTTGTATGCATGGACTTACAGCTTTTACTGAAGTTTAAATGATTTTAATGAGTTTTGACTTATACATACACATACTCAGGAAGCCATCAACACATTTGAAATAGTCAACATATCCCTCAGCCACCAAAGTATTTTCATTTCCTTTTATAATCCTTTGCTCTCCTTTCCTTTGCCTATTCTGGCCCCAGGCAACGACTGCCTGCTTTGTCAGTATTGATTAGTTTTTTGCATTTTTTAGAATTTTATACAAGTGGAATTATATGAGCTCTTTTTTGTCTGCCTTCTTTCACCCAGCATAGTTACTCTGAGATTCTTCCATGTTGCTGTATCTATCAACACTTTCTTCTTGTTTTATTTCTGAGTTGTTTACTATATGGATAAAATCATAACATATTTTTGTGTATCTATTCACCCAATGATGGACATAGTTTTCAACCCTTACCAATAAAGCTAGATACTAACATTTTTACACAAGTCTTTCATTTCTCCTAGGTAAACATCTTGAAGTAGAATAGCTTGGTCCTGTGGGAGATGTATGTTTAACTTTTTAAAGAAAATGCCAAAATGCTTTCTAAAGCACTTGTTGTATCACTCTATGTTTCCATCAGTACCACAGAAAAGTACCACTTACTTCACACCAGTAAAAGTACTTTTACAGTGAGTATTTGCATTTTGCCTTATACCAATTCTTTGATTTTATTTTTTATCCCATGTATACCCTTTTTTTTTTTTTTTTTGAGATAGAGCCTCAAGCTGTCCCCCTGGGTAGAGTGCTGTGGCATTACAGCTCACAGCAACCTCCAACTCCTGGGCTCAAGCGAGTCTCCTGCCTCAGCCTCCCAAGTAGCTGGGACCACAGGCGCCCGCCACAACGCCTGGCCATTTTTTTGGTTGCAGCCATCATTGTTGTTTGGCGGGCCTGGGCTGGGGATTCGAACCTGCCACCTTAGGTGTATGTGGCTGGCGCCTTAGCCGCTTGAGCCACAGGCGCCGAGCATATAATAAATTTATTTTCAAAGTATCTTGTATCTAGGAACAATAATAAAGTTATAGCAGCAGGTGCTTCAAAGGAAGTCCTTCACTTATCTGACTTCCCTAAGTGTCAGTTTCTTTAAATGAAACAGGGAAATGACAATAATTCCTGTCTCAGAGCTACTGTTAGGACAGAGATGACCCACATGGAGCATCTTACTTAATATCTTGCCATTATAGCAAACTCTCAAAAATGTTAAGTTGCTTTTACCACTGTTGTCATCGTCATCGTTATTACTCTTTCCATTCCTCTCTCCCTTCCCTACTACCACTGTTCCTGCTAACTCTATAAGCAGATGTTATATTCCCGTGAGAGATCACAGGATTATGCCACTGATGAACACCACTCAGGCATATTAGATTATAGAAGGGTTCCCTTTCTGAAGGCATTCTGCATATTTATAACTAGCAAATAATTCTGCCTCAATTGGTATAAAAGCAATCCATGTAACCAATACATTTGTACCCCTAGAATATTCTGAAATAAAACAAAAACAAGTATTAAGTAGTTGAACTTTTCCACTCTTTCAAAGTTTCCCAAAATGTTATCATTTTAAAATTTTATTTATTTTATTTTTTAGGGACAGAGTATCAATCTTTCACCCAGGCTGGACTGCAGTGGTGCAACTATAGCTCACAGAAATCTCAGACTCCTGGGCTCAAGCAATCCCCCTGCCTCAGCCTCCTCAGTAGCTGAGACTACAGGCATATGCTATCATGCCTGGCTAAGTCGTCTTTTTTTTTTTTTTTTTTTTTTTTAATTTTTTGTAGAAATGAGGTCTCATTATATTGCCCAGGCTGGTCTCAAATCCCTGGCTTCAAGCAATCTTCCCTCTACAGCCTCCCAAAGTGCTAGGATTACAGGAATGAGACACCATGTCTGGCCTCTAAATGTCATCACATTACATCAAACTTCTAAAATGAGAAATGTCTGAGCACAGCTTGCAAGACAGAGATTTTGAGGCTGCCACTGCTAAGGCGGTAGTGTAAGAGAAGAAATCCAATCACTTCTGGGGAGAGACAGTTATTGAAGACGAGGACAGAAAGTAAAGCACCCACAAAGCTCACCTTACTCGCTGGTGAAGAAGATAGAGAACATTCCGAAGACTTCCCAATGTTCTGTTTTCTGGATTTAGCCTGTGACGTCCAAACTGAAAAAAATAAGGAAAAAAATAAATAGTTACTGTATACTACTGTATTTTTTTTTTTCTTTGAGACAGAGTCTCACACTGTTGCCCTAGCTAGAGTGCAGCGGCATCATTATAGCTCACTATAACCTCAAACTCCTGGGCTCAACTGATCCTCCTGCCTCAGCCTCCTGAGTAGTTCAATAACAGGTGCGTGCCATAATGCCCAGCTAATTTTTCTATTTTTTGTAGAGTCAATGTCTTTCTATTCTCCCACCTTGACCTCTTAGAGTGCTAGAATTACAGGCTGAACCACTGACTAATACTGCTGCCTTTTAAAATCTTAATTTCTACCTGGAAAAGGACATTATGTTACAGTAACACCTTACAGCACACAATAATACTCAATTAGTACCACACATTTCATTAATCCTCTACTTTTCAACCAAATAAGTAAAGTATTTTGATGAAATAAGTGAAAATAAGAAACATTTTCTGGCTGGGCACAGCAGCTCACACCTGTAATCCTAGCATGCTGGGGGGCCAAGACAGTTTAGACTGCTTGAGCTCAGGAGAGCTCAGCTTTGAGAGCTGCCTGAGCAAGAGCAAGACCATGTCTCTAAAAATAGCCGGGCGCTGGGCGGCGCCTGTGGCTGAAGGAGTAGGGTGCCAGCATCATATACTGGGGGTGGCAGATTTGAACCAGGCCCTGGTCAAAACTGCAAAAAAAAAAAAAAAAAAAATAGCCAGACATTGTGGCAGGTGCCTGCAGTCCCAGCTACTTGAGTCTGAGGCAAGAGGATTGCTTGAACCCAGGAGTTTGATGTTGCTGTGAGCTATGATGCCATAGCACTCTACTGAGGGTGACCAGTGAAATTCTATCTCAAATTCTATCTCAAAGTCTATCTCAAAAAAAAAAAAAAGAAAAGAAAAGAAAAGAAAAGAAAAGAAACACTTTCTAACGAAACAAAACACGAAAATTTTCATCTTACAGATAGTTATGGAAAGAATTCTATCTCAAAGAAAAAGGTCATGCCCAGGATGATGATTTAGATGCTGATAGCATGGCTTAATGACTTTCTCTAGGCAGTCCTGCTGAGCATTCACCTATTAGACTCTACAGTCTAAGCTCTTGACATTATACGTTTACATTACAAAATATATTTATGTGAATGCTATTGAATCCTTTATGTTAAATACCAATTTCATACTGCATTAGTAAAAATACTTTATTTATTTATTTATTTTTTGAGACAGAGTCTCACTATGTTGCCTGGGTAGAATGCCATGGAGTCACAGCTCATAGCAACCTCAAACTTTTGGGCTTACATGATTCTCTTGCCTCAGCCTTCCAAGTAGCTGGGACTGCAGGCGTCCACCACAACGCCCGGCTATTTTTTGGTTGTAGTTGTCATTGTTTGGCAGTTCTGGGCCAGATTCAAACCTGCCAGCTCTGGTGTATATGGCTGGCACCTTAGCCACATGGGCTACAGGCTCCAAGCCCCCAAAATACTTTTTTTAAAAAGGTAATAACTGAGGCCAGGAGCAGTGGCTTACACACTCTGAGAGGCTGAGGCAGGTGGATTGCTTGAGTTTAAGAGTTTGAGACCAGCCTGAGCAAGAGCAAGACCCCGTCTCTAAAAATAGAAAAACTAGCTGGGTGTTGTGGCAGGCACCCATAGTCCCTATAGTCCCTATACTTGGGAGGCTGAGGCAAGAGAATTGCCTGAGCCTAAGTGTTTGAGGTTGCTGTGAGCTATGATGATGCCACAGCACTCTACCAAGGGCTATAAAGTAAGACTCTGTCTCAAAAAAAAAAAAAAAAAAAAAAGTACTAATTATTTTGAACTGAAATATTCTCACTACCATTCTCATTTTGTCTAGCAAAAAGTCTCTCTCTCTTTCTTTTTAGAGATAGAGTCTTACTTTGTCGCCCTTGGTAGAGTGTTGTGGTGTCAACAGCTCATAGCAACTTCCAGCTCTTGGACTTAAGTGATTCTCTTGCCTCAGCCTCCCGAGCTGCTGGGACTACAGGCGCCTGCCACAACGCCCAGCTACTTTTTTGGTGCAGTTTAGCTGGGGCTGGGTTTGAACCCATCACCCTTGGTATATGAGGCCGACACCCTACTCACTGAACTACAGGCACCGCCTCACAATAAGTCTCTTGAACCTTTTCTCTAACATAGACTTGAATCTGTTCTCATGCAGTCTCTCTTCTACACTGCTACCACCCTAGTCTAAGGCCACCAACCCCACTCACCTATCTCACTGAAATGGCCTGACTGCCCCCACTTGCTCTTAGCTTTCTGACGAACTCACCAAAATAGCTATAACAATCTTCTCAAATTGTAAATCAGATCACATACATCCCAGTTTAAAGCTCTTCAAAGGTTTCTCACTGCACTGAGAATAAAAATTTAGATTCCTCACCTACAGCTTCCCTGTTACTTTTCCAATCTCACTCAGAGCCACTCCAGCCATAGAGGCCTCCTTTCAGTTCCTGGGATGGGATGCCCCAAACTCTTGGCACATCATACTTCCTCTACCTAAATGCATTTTCCTTCACTCTGCATAGATAGTCTCTTATCTTCCTTTGCATCTTGATTTAAATAAGCCTCCTCAAAGAAGCCCACCCTGACCATGCTATAAAAAGCTACCCCATGCCCCCTCCAAACTCGTTGCACAGTATAGATGCTTAATAAATATTTGAATAGATCAATAACTGAATGAGTGAAAAAACAGAATTTGAAAGTTCTTTAGAAGAGTGAAATCATTATTTTCTCCTGAGTGAACCAAAGGAATTAACCTCTGATTTTGTAAAGGATAATCTGCCCTAGAGCACTAAGCAAATATACATGAATGAGAAGGAAGAAATTTACATCTTCCTGATGTCCTTAAAAAACATTTTTCC